GAGTTTAGATCATCAGACCAAGCCACACCAAAGTTATCGAATACACTTTCAAGTCTCAGCATTTATTCATAGTATTCATAAAACAGCAAAAAGTACCTACTGCATGAATGACCTATACTACTGTAGAGATTCTGAAGTGCTCATCCACTGGACACTTTACTATCCCATGAGGGCACGGAAGAGGATCCGTAAATCCTAATTTAGTATTTAAATCATACTACACACATTCATACTTTATTGAACATACTTTTTAATGGTCACAAAATGTGTTCCTCTTCAAATGTATTGTCTTCTCAGACACTATGTGATTTCAGATGCAAACTCTTTGAAGTGTAGCTTGAAGTGTATTTTTTTATAAGAGTTATTTATTGTTATTATTATTAGAGTTATTGAAGTCTCTACTAGATTTTTCTAGTCTGCCCCCTAATAGTCGACTTAACCGTAGTCAAGATTAAGAGGCTTAGTCTACCAAATTTGAATTAGTTGGGTAGTCACAGAAAGAAAAAAAACAGGCAGTCACGCAGTCCGTGATGGGCAAATCATTAACACGGCTGGTCCATGTGGTAATTACAGTATATCGGGCAGTAAATCCAAATGTTTGCCTATCATTTACTGACCTCAAATGGCTTATCATTTTAAACATGTAAGTAGTAGTCTAACGTTAGCCTCTTTACATGGCGGATCGCTCTAATGTTAACCTAGATAAATGTGCACTGTTATTTGTCGCATGTCTATGTGTTCATGCGGAGGTCACTTACATTTTGTCCTGATAACAGTGAAAATAGCATAAAATATTCATGTCATTTTTGGTCATACAGATGCATCATTTGAAACTGTAAAGGGTCTACTTTTATTTGTGTACACTCACAATAACAACAAAACTCTTTTGTAAAATAAAGAAAACAAACAGGGTGCACTTTCTGCATCTCGGTCTCCATGAACTACCTTCTGAAGCACATCACAAAAGTGAATTGAAACTCACTCATACAAGCATAAACTTGCCTCACATGAATATTCTATATGTTAGAAAGCTTGAACTGTCTAGTTTTAAATTAACCAATTTCAATATTCTCTGATTATGTAATCCATATGAAAAGTACATTTCTCTCTATATGTGCACTGTACTGCAGAGATGGCAAGTCGGCATCGTCAACTTCATTTTTGCAGCCGACACTGACTCAGAAAACACTAGTTTACCAATAAATTAGTAAAATGTTCAGTAAGTCTCCTTGCTGTTTTTTTTTCAGACACATTCATAATCATTACTTTTGCCGGCGCACTGCAGCAAGCTTTATGTGTTTGAGTGCCTCATTATTCTGGTTTAGGATTTATCTGTAAAGTAGAAGTTAGCAATGTTACATATATTACACTACCGTTCAAAAGTTTGGGGTCGGTACGATTTTAAATACTTTTAAAAGAATTCTCTTCTGCTAACCATGGCTGCGCTTATTTGATTAAAAATACAACAAAAATCAGTTATAGTATTAAATATTATTCCAGTGTAAATCAGCTGTTTTCTGTGTGAATATATAGTAAAGTGTAATTTATTCCTGTGATCAAAGCTGAATTTTCAGCATCACCAGTGTCAGTGTCTTCAGTGTCAAATGATCCTTCACAAATCAGTATAATATGAGGATTTGATGCTCAAGAAACATTTATTATTATTATCAATGTTGAAACAGTTGTTGGTCTGTCAGTTGTACAGTTTTTTTTTTTTTTTAGGATTCTTTGATGAATAGGAAGTTCAAAAGACTTTTGTAACATTATAAATGTCCTTACTGTCACTTTCGATCAAATTAATTATTCCTTGATAAATAAAAGTATTGATTTCTTTCCTCCAAAAAATAAAATTCTCACTGACCCCAAACTTTTGAACGGTAGTGTACATATGTTTTATAAGCTATAAAAGGAAATAAATGTTGCCTGAGAATCATACAAATACAATATTTGTCATACACTGTCATACAATTCTGTTTTGTTCTTCCCATCTCTAAATATTTTCTCATTCCATCCATTGGAAAAACTACACATACAATTGTTGTCTGAAATCCTCTAAACAGTCAAACTTTTTGCACAATATGAGCATCAAAAAATAAACAAAACAAAAAAACATTCCTACGCCATTGGCTTACGGTTCCTTCATGCATTTGAATCAGTCTCACCCAGTGCCTGCCGACAGATCCTGTCTTCTAACTCGTGGTGGCTTCACTGTTCCTTCATTTCTTCCTGACCTTCAGTACCTTGAGTATTTCAGTGTGGCCTATTTCTGCAGCCACCCATCCTTAAGCCCCAGCGATTTCACCACAACGACATGATGCTTCCTTCTGCCACAAAGTGACTTTGTTTATGTGCTGTGATGTTTCTTTTGAGATTCACACATCAGGTGGAGACACACTTTCCTTTTTCTTGTCTATTTGCGTCTCCGGTGATGTTCAAAGGCTTTCTTGTTTGAGTGTGGTTGGCTCCGGGCAAACCGATGACACTGCCAGTTGCTTACATGTTCTTGTAAGCTGTGGTGTGTTTTTGTTTGATAAGAATATCTGGAGAGTGGTAAGACTCATTGTTTCTTTGGGGAGGGGAGGGTTCATGTTGATGCCATCAAATGGATCCCAGATGTCTTGTGTCTTTTCCGCCTCCTTTTGGTTTGATTTGTAAATATTATTTAAAGCTGCATTCCTAAAACATTCTGAAACTTGCCTCTTTAATTACTGTACCTGTTTGTAGGCGTTTCGAATTCCCAGCAACTAATACATTTCATTTAAATTGGGTTTTATTGGTGGTTTTATTGGAGTTTTGTTATTATAAATGTGATTTAAGATGTAAACTTGTTGTTGAAAGGACACAAATATGCTACCTTTTTAATACATTTACACTCACAATACTGATTATTTTCTTATATTTAAGTGTTAGATAACCAACATTGAGAACATTTTTGATTTGTAATTGTTTTCTTTTGCTTTTTACAAGTACAGCAGTGAAAACATAATATGCGTTATGGATATACAGTTCTGCTCAAAAGTTTACATACCCCTTGCAGAATATACAAAATGTTAACAATATTAGCAAAAGAAGACGGATCATACAAATTGCATGTTATTTTTTGTACTGTTCTGAATAAACTGTTTCACATAACTGAAGTTAACATAGTCAACAAGACAAAATAATAACCAAATGTACACAAATGGACCAGTTGAAAAGTTTGCATACCCTTGAATGAGATATTTACGTTTCCGCGAAGACAAAATATGTACAATTTACCCCGATCATCCAATTCAAGAAGTTTACACCCACTGGCTCTTAAAGGGTTAGTTCACCCAAAAAATAAAAACTTGTCATTCTTTACTCACCCTCATGTTGTTCCAAACCTGTAAGACTTTCGTTCAAAACACAAATGGAGATGTTTTAAATGAAATCTGAGATTTCCGTCCCTCCATTGACAGTCTACGCAACTACCACTTTGATGCTTCAAAAAGTTCATAAAGAGATCGTAAAACTAATTAATGTGAAATTTTCTGAAGAGACACGTACATTTATATGATGTACAGATTGAATTTAGGCTTTTATTCACATATAAACATTCATCAACACACAGTTATGGTATAGTGTAAATGGAGCGACAGATCTTAATTTGAAAAAGAGATCTTAGTTTGTGTTTCAAAGATGAGCGAAAGTCTTACGGGTTTGGAACGACATTAGGGTGAGAGATTTTTTTGATTTTATATTTTTCAACTTATTATCAGAACTATATTAACATTGATAAAAAGCACAAAGTTTTGCTAACTTTTTATGCAAACATATCTCCATATATCTTTAAGGATCTTGGATTTTAGGGATTTGTTCCATGTAATATAAAACTATACACCCGTTGACCTATTTTCAGTTTTTCATTAAAAATCTAATATAAAGATCGTTTAACAGCTTTATTCTGTGCTAAATTGCTCTTGCATATAGTTCTTGACCTTATATACTGTGCTTCTTTGGGTTATGATTAAACAGCATTTCCTGTGGGAAGGACAGATCACACGGTTTGCTCTTATCCAGTAGCTTTAGTTTAAGCAATAATCTCTAATTTTGCTATCACTTATTGGATTCAAATGTGCATCAAATATCACATTTCACTTAGAAAGAATGAATAGGCAGATAGTGGAATCAAAACAAACAGGATTTGTAGAGAGGCTGTGCCACGCTCACACGCTCATATCATCTTTGACCCAAATTGCATGTGCTGCAGCCTCCCCGGCCAGCTAATACACGCAAAGCCTTCATCGTAATGAATCAGATTGAGCAACAACCCCGCCCTGACCCTAATCTCTGGAAATCTATGGGATTTTCAAATGCGTTTTTTTTTTTTTTTTTTCTAGGACAACTGGCCATGTAGGAAATTTTGATCAGTATGAAATGTTGTCTTGTCCACAGGCCATGATTTGGTATTATTGACAGGATTTTACAGGCAGGCAAAAAGAGCAAGAGGGAAAAATCAACAACATGGGATTTGTGCTCTTTATTGCTTATAAGCAAAGATAAGCCACAGGAACTTCTGCATAATAACGAAAAGACATTCATCTCATTTCTCATCACAACGTGACCTTAAGTTACTTTTCATGTTGCCTCTATAGGACATGGCCCCTGAATCTTGTGTGGAAAAAAAAGTAAATTAAACTTAGTTGCAGTGATGCTGCCATTTTTACTGTATTTTGTATGATTTGTATGAAGAAGACTTCTTTAGAAGAAAAACAAATATTCCAAACTTTTGACTGGTAGCGTCAAACTGATTATTTTTTGTTTAATTTTATTCAAAACACAATATTCAAGAAAAGAACGTAAAATTGCTCGGATACCTTTTTGTTTTGTATTTTGTTTTATTTAAAGTTGAATGACATTTCAAATCATTTATTTGTAAATTTTCTGCAAATCTTACCCTATAAAGTAGTATTTCAACATTTGAGTGAATATTTTTCTTCGTAAATGTATTTCATTGAATATGTGATATTTCATTTTAGATAGATCCGGTGTTTACCGCAGAGGTTGAGGAGAGTGTCAAGAGGTAAATATCACTTCACGTCTTCATCTTCCCTCCTTGATCTGCTCTTTTTTACTTTCATCTCCCTCCTTCGGTCTCAGGTACTTGATCTTCAAAGTCTCAGTTTCTTATTGCTGCCACTAGACCCACACACACACGCAGAAACATTCATCTGCTTTTTTCAATATTTCTGTATCAATCTTTCCAGTATTTTTTAAATTCCCTTTTTAAAATAAGGGAATGCCCCCTTGTAAACTGTTCCTGGATGTTTTATAACATATTCATGAGGTTGTGTGTGTGTGTGTGTGTGTAGGTCTGTTGGAGTGTTTCTGGCAGCTGATTTGAGTCAGGAGGAGCTGCACTCTGCCATGCAGAAATCATTTGCCCTGGTCAACTCGTCTCTCTCAGAGGGAATGTCTGCTGCCATCTTAGAGGTTTGTCAGGAAGAACTAATTGAATAAAATCTGTTTTATAACAAATTCTGACCATTGGATTGAAATGTCAATATTTACTATATTGACTTTAAATTGATGTTGATGATAATATTAATAGTAATATGAAGAAAGTAACATGTACAGTATCTTGAGAAACACTGTGAAAGTGAATAGTACAAACACATAATTGTTTTCACAGTCCACAATACGAAATTTTTAAATGTATGCACTTGGTAGAGCGTCTTTAAAATGCTGAGTTTCAGTCTCAGTGTGGTCAGAAGGCCAAAACGCATAGAAAAAGATGCATTTTCGGATGTATCCAGATGTATCCCTAGTATTTGGTTTGTCCAAGAGAAACCAGTCTGAAAAATCATTATTTTCTCTATTGATTTTGATCTCAATACTAGTGCAGGAATCATTTCCAGCAGCTTTGAATCTGTTTGTTTTGCCCGTTATTAGATAGGATATTATGACCACAATATCATTATGTGGATCTAGTTAATCTGTGTTCAAACTGACCAGATTAGTTCAACCCCCAGTGGGATTAATGTGCTAAGTAGCTGTTATCATATTTTCCTCAACAGTTCCACATCTTTTCATTATCCCACAAATGTGAACAAGCCTAGATTGAAATGGCCAATGTATCTACAGAGAATTGACGTTAAAAAGGTTGTTGCAATTTAGAAGAATTTAAAAATAAAAAGGAAAAAGCTTTGTAAATGCAATCATCTAGCCCATAATGCTTGATTGCTATCTTACAGTGAATGATCCTGGAGTTGAATTGGCACTCACAATGTCACAGTAATGGATTGAGTTTCCAGGGAGCACAAATACTGATAGAAAACCTTGAATGCTCTTAAGGCGCTTCAGATAAAAAGCACCTGGAAAATGAATAAATGTAAATGCATTGCGCACAAGGCCAAACAGAGTTAATGTATTGCAATCTGGTGTGTTTTTAGGCAATGGATTTAGGTTTGCCTGTTTTAGCGAGGGATGTTCCTGGAAATGCTGCAATAGTTGAGCACAAGGTCACAGGATTGCTGTACTCAAGCCCTCAGGTAAGATTTACAAAGGTTTTACTCAGAGTTTAATTTTAATACAATGAAATCATATCACAGTGTTTTTGTCTGTTACCTTTTTTCCATAGAATGTAAGTGATTGTGATAAATGTATACAAAAGTCAAATCTATATGTCCCAAGGGCCAGATTTACTAAACAGGGCAAATTAGCACAGATGGGAAGTGGAAAAGTGGAAAGTTCTGCGTGTGATCTACTGACGACACACAAATGAAAGAACACAGACGCAGCCGGATCATTTCCATAATGACCATCACAATATACCAAGAGCAGCGCAAATTCAGCGTCTGGTTTAAGGCATGCTATTTTGGGCGGTAAATAACGGCGCAAATACCAGTAAATTGACCAGTGCAAACCTTAGTAAATCACTTTGCATGATTCATTTAAATACTCTCCTCCCAGAAATGTTGTGTCTGAAAGGGAAACTCCTACAAATGTATATGCAATAAGGTCGGCCGCAAAAATAACCCTGTCCACGTCTGTTCAGCGCAAATTTTTCACTGTGTGTCTTTAGTAAATCCTGACAGTAGTTTTTTTTAACACCAAAAGAGGGATTGTGTTTGCGCAAACTGTTAGTAAATTAGGCCCCAAGTCTTCGGAAGACATGATTGGTCAATGTGAAAAACACACAGAAGTTTTTCCCTCCACTGTATGGTAAATCTCATTAGTGCATTGACTATGTGCAGATTCAAATTTGCCACGTTGTGATTGGTCACGAGATACACAAAAACCAAAGATGTTTGGCATAATTGATGTCAAACTTGCTTTTTGATGCAGAAAGGAAAGATTATCGGTGAAAAACAACTTCAGCCTGTTAGTCACTTAAGGCTTTCATGTGACTTTAGAAGACTTGGAATATATGAGTAGAAAGACATACAGGTTTGTAATGCTTTGATTTGAACCTTTTTATTCAGTGTTTTCAAAATATTAATACTTCAATAGTGTTACAACTTTATTTTTTGGCACTAAAACGCTGCTGTAAAAGAGAGAGTAGTGTTGAGTTTAGTAGTGTTGACTCTTCTTAGCGCCGTCTCTATCTGCTGGTGACTAAGCTTTAACCTGTTTTGGGTCTTTAGGGGGAACAGACAGACTTAGCGTTTATTGTACCGCCGTGCTAAACGGCTGAGAGGAATTCAAGGCAGCTTAAAAGGTCAAAGGGCAAAACTTCTATCCCTAAAGCAATCTGCTCCTCTGAGCAATTTCCAACCATCCATTTATCTTGCTTATCTCAAATGTATTAAAAGCAATAGCGGATCTGAAAATCGCAAGTCTTTGGAGAAACACAGGAAATTGTAAATGAAAGCATTGATATCTGGGCGATTGTGAGCATGTGGGACGTACCATGTGCCCTTCTATATTTGTGACCTATGCTAAGCTTTGACCTCTAAATCAAAGAGCTGTTCCATGACCAAGCGCTAGTACAAGCTTCTCTTCTTCTCGGTAGACTGTTGACTCTTGTGGTTTGCATGATGCCATTTGGAGGATTACTGTAGTGGTGAAATGCACTAACTATTGTCCCATAGTGATTATTTTCACACAAATCATTTACAGATAAAAAGTTAACAATACACTACCATTCAAATGTTTGGACTTGGTATGATTTTGTAATGTTTTTGAAAGAAGTCTTCACCAAGGCTTTATTCATTTGATCAAAAATACAGTTAAAAAACTTAACAGTAATATTGTGAACTATTATTGCAATTTAAACCAACTGTTTTCTATATATATGTATATATATATTAGGGCTGTCAGTTAAACACGTTATTAATGGCGTTAACGCAAACCCATTTTAACGGCGTACATTTTTTTTTTAGATTAACGGTCTTTTTGGCCTAGCAAACTTTGTAATTTTTTTTCACATGCTTTTGCAACAGGACGCGGCATGCGCGGCGCTGCGCTATGAAACCCATTCATTTCAATGGCTTGCGCCCTTTTTTTTTTTTTTTTTTTTTTTACAGTCTATGCTTGCGCCGCGCGAGGGCGTTTTGTTGCTTCGCCGACCAAAGCGCAAGCGGATCTAGCTAGACCGGAAACAAAACAACAGGCACGACGCCGCACACACTTGTTTAGGGTTGCGAGCCGGCCAAATAGTTGGTTAACGTTACGTTTTGAGTGGATGACGAGCGTGAGACGCCGAAATGGATGCCAATAAGATTCTGATGGGAAAGTTTACGTTTAAAAAGTTGCCAAATGGTTCTATTGACAAGACCAAAGTGATCTGTGTGTTTTGTCGTTGTGAACTGAGCTATCATCATCGCAGCACGTCCAGTCTGAAATACCACTGGATGATGGCCAAGCACACACACACACACACACACACAGCTGATGCGAATTCTCCGCCCCCTCGTCAATATCAGGACCTCGTCAGTATTTCTTTCACCCTTTTATTGATGGACAGTGTTGCATTGTGTGAGAGATTATTTGCTCCAAGTGAGAATGTTAGTGTGAAATTGAACAATATATGCCGATGTTGTTTTCAATAAAAAACATTTGCACAAAGCAAGCCGATCCACTTTTCCATGTTGATAAGAGCATTAAAAGGAGAAAAAATAATGGGACAAAAAGAAATCAAGAGACATTTAGAATAGATAAAAGTGTGCGATTTAATTGCGATTAATCGCGAGTTAACTATGACATTAATGTGATTAATCGCGATTAAATATTTTAATCATTTGACAGCACATATATATATAAAAGCTGAATTTTCAGCATCATTACTCCAGGCTTCAGTGTCACGTGTTCCTTCGGAAATCGTTCTAATATACCGATTTGCTGCTCAATAAACATTTATTTTTATTATCAGTGATGAAAAGAGTTGTGATGCTTAATAGATTTGTGGGAACCATGCCCATTTTTCTTTTCAGGATACTTGGATGAATAGAATGTTCAAAAGAGCACTATTTATTTGAAATAGACATTTTTGGTAATGTTATGTCTTTTGGTATTATAATTGGTAATATAAATGTCTTCACTGCAACTTTTGGTCAATTTAACACACCCTTGCTGAGTAAAAGTTTTAATTTCTTTAAATGAAAAATACTGACTCTGAAAAACTGTTATAAACACTCTTATGGCCAACATTTTTGTCTTAAGTGTGTCAAAATTCCAAGAATGGCGTAATTTTACTTTTAGTCCCAGACTTAATCATAAGTGTGATTCATAAAGGTTCCTAAGTGTCAAGACTAGGTCTCAGCTCCTAAATGATTTAAGAGTGCTGGAGAGGTATCCTAACCTAGTGAGGAGTAACAAGATGACAGCAGAGAGGAGGAGAACACACACTTTCTGAAAAAGATATAGGGCCCTATCTTGCACTCGGCGCAAATTACTTTGTACACTGACGCATGTATCATTCCTATTTTGCACCCGCGCAAAGCGGGCTTTTCCCTCCACAGACGCACGTCGGTTAACTAAGAAATACACTTGCGCTCCCCGGGGCGGTTCAGCGCAAAGAGGAGGCGTGTTCCGGCGCAAACTTTCCCTCATGCTATTTTGCTGTTCTATAAAACAATTGCGCCACTGACCAGAAAAAACCTAGTCTAAAGTCAGTGGCGCGTTGCGCGTTGTTCATTATGCTATTTTAAGGGCGCGTGCTTGGCCATAATCAATGTAGCGTGTGCACAACGCGCATACACGTTGATTCTCTCATCTAAGCAGCAGTTTTCATTTTTGCAAATCATACATTATTACGATAGATAGATAGATAGATAGATAGATAGATAGATAGATAGATAGATAGATAGATAGATAGATAGATAGATAGACAATTTATTATAAAAGCAACATGTAGCTTACACATTTACCCAAATTATCATACGCCTGTTTAACAGAAGTTAATTTGGGTGGGTTTCTCCATCCCCAATGTCACTTCTCTGTGTTTTACGGCCCTGACGAGAACGTTGCTCTCCTCGGCTGTGAACCGCTCCTGGCGTGCGCCTGGCAAATCCGCCGTTATAATAGGAATCCGCTTTAGAACAAGCGGGCCTGCTCTTAAAGGGAATGTGAGATGACGCTCTGATTGGTTTATTTCACGTTACGCCCAAACCACACCTATGAATAATGAAGCTACTTCAGACCAACCCCTTTTAGATTTGCGCCAGGCGCAAGAGGCATTTATCCCGCTGGGAAAATAGCAACAGCGCCGGGATCCGCCCACAAAGTTACTTGCGCTTTGCGCTTTGACACTTGCGTTTCAGATCGTTAAAATAGGGCCCTTAATGTATTGGAGTTATGTATGTGTATATTATAATATGACAGGGAGTTAAATAAACGATACAGGCTTGATCGTAAAGGTATTTCCTTATTAAGAAATGTAATAACTTATCCCACTCTACAAATCAATGCTCTGACTGCAGTAATGAAAGAAATAATTAAATTTTTTGGCAACTGGAAAAATGCAGGAGTGGCACCGGTGATGACTTGAACCCTTCAGTCCACAGTAAGCAGGGTCTTATTAGCAATATTGTGGCACTAACCACACATATATATTATTTTTTAAATATGAAGCAAGAACAAAACATTAAACTTAGTGAAGTTTATCTGACCAAATTATTTGGCAAAAAAGGCAAACTACAGCTACAGGTTTTAGAAAAACAAAAAAAGCTCACAGGAAAATGAATGCATTGACAACAACATAATCAGTTATTAAGATGTCACTGGTTCTCTTGTTTTTGCATGTGCGCATGATTTTGCATGTTTATCACAAACAAAACAATTTACTGCAAGCATAACTAGACAATATGCTTACAAAATCCTTAACACATTTTTAATAATATTTGGATAAAGGGTGAAGATGTTAATAATTTTCCTAGGCTGGTCAACACTTTTGGCCACTACTGTGTGGCAGTTTATTGACTTTCCAGCTGATCTTCAAACCATGCAGCAAAAGCAAGCCACTTTTATGAGGATTTCAGGCTTCCCTGGAGTTCACAACACTTGAGTGCCACTTCAGTCAGCACATAAGAATCAGTGTTAGACTTTGCTGAAAGTTGCTTTTAGATTCTTTATAAAAGTCTCCCACTCTAAGACAAGTCATACTTTTTACTGAGAATTTTTTGACACTTAAGTCAAAGCTTAAGACTATTCTTAAGAGCATTTCAGAGAAGTTTTATACATTGCAAAATCTGCTGAAATTTCTTGTCACTTATTAAATTCGCCTAGCAGCATTTTATCCCCGCTGTGTTTTCTAAGTGCCAAAGATTTGTTTACCCATGTGCAGCATAAGTCACATCTGTGCACTGTGCTAAGCCTTGACCTCTATCTTAGTAAGTAGCTAAATGAGAGGTTTAAGACCGGACTATATATTGTCAAACAAAGAGTATCGTTGAGGCTTAAAAGATCTCTGATGATTAGTTAGGCTCTTCACTACACTAACAATCTCAGAAAATATCTAGTTAATCAAAAGCGACAGTAAAGACATTTATAATGTTACAAATAATTTCTATTTCAAATAAATGCTGTCCGTTTGTACTTTCTATTAATCAAAGAATCCTCAAAAGATGTAGCACAATTCCCACAAAAATAATAGGCAGCACAACTGTTTTCAACATAATGTTACTTGAACACCAAATCAGCATTTAGAATGATTTCTGATCGATCATGTGACACTGGAGACTGGAGTAATGATGCTGAAAATGTACCTGCTATTTTTTATTTATTTTTTATCCAATAAATGCAGCCTTAATACTGAGCATAAAATACTGATAGTTAGTGTACATCACTCTAAAGTGGTTTATTTGGTAACTGATCTACTGACTCCATTATCCTGCATATTACACGGTTATACCAAATAACTTAACTCGAACTACACCCAAACTCTAGTTTCCCTCATAAAGAGCCCAGGCACATCCCACCAGGCCACATCTCTGTCAAACGTACTCATTTACACTCTGGTTTCATCATGGTATTGTGTCAAGGGCAGAGGCATCGGCTCTTTCATATGACACAAACGGTTTGCCTTTTCCACATGGCTTCTGTAACCCTGCTGAGCTGAAAGAGAGGTTTATAACCCGACTATCCTTTCAGAGTAAAGCCAACTTTAACACGAGTCTCCCATGATACCCGTGGTTAAGAGTAAATAGCAGGGGGTCACTGGAAGCTGAAGGTGTTTTAAGTCGAGTTGAAAGACAAGTTGCAACATGGGCAATTGACATGACGATTAAATTCACTGTTCTCAAAGAATAACGTTTTTATATTTTCATCCTTTGGATACGCACCAGTTTTGTCCATAAATATAAAATGATGTTCTTCATTGATGTTGCTTCGTTGATTGATTTTTATGCTCAACCAAGGCTGTGCTTATTTAATCAAAAATACATTAAAATCGATAATATTATGAAAAATTGTTGCAACTTAATAAAAAACGGTTTTTCGATTTTTCCTGTGATGGCAAAGCTGAATTTTCAGCATCATTACTCCAGTCTTCAGTGTCACATGATCCTTCAGAAATCATTCTAATTTGGTGCTCAAGAAACGTTACTTTTTATTATATTATTATTAATATTATTTTTGTGGAATATGTGATGCTTGCTGATGTACTCATAATTCACCTCACTAAATAAACATACTAAACAATTTTTCATTGTTTAGTGTACCAACAAAGGATTTCAATGTTCTTGTTTCCACAGGAATTTGTAAGCATGTCCAGAAAGCTTCTGGATGACCATGAGCTCCAGGAAAGACTGGTGAGAAATGGAAAGAATTACATTACAACATGCCACAACCCAGGGAAGGAGAGAATAACCTATCAGAAACTGGTGGAGACTCTTCATTGACAGTGTGATGGGATTAACATTTGTCTCAGGTCTTTCTTTTTTTTTTGAGCATTGGAGTCTGTATTGCATATTTCAATTGGAAATGCAAGCCTCTCCCATGACTGTAAAGATAAAGGTGGCAATTTGTTTCTGGAATAGGATAAACCGGAAAATACTGTATATTTATAGGAAATGTTGACTTTCACTAGGTATGAAAGGGACACGCATTTTACTATATTCTACATATACTCAGTGCTTAAATTGCAATTTATGAGGTCTTAGAACAAGGTGATGGATCTGGCAGTTTTTCTTTTTTTGGAGAATTGTGCACTCTTGCTGTGTCCACAGACAGCTGTGTGTTTGCAAGGTGTTTGCCGCCTTTTGTTTTGTTGCGATGCTTGTTGGTAGTGAAGAATGCGTATAAAAGTGCAGTGCCAGTGTTTCTACAGTAGTTGTTACTACAGTTTTCTGGGTTAAAGAATTGTGTTGACATTTTGTTCTAGCAAGAAAGAGTCCTCCTCTAAGGAGGATCTCAGCTTGAATTAAACGGACAGCTTGCATTCATGTGTGCATGTGTAATATGAAGGGACTAGACATATGACAAACTAAAAATGGCTAAAAATTACTATACTTGATTTCTCTAAACAAATGTAAAGGGAATAGCATTTTCTGGAGGCTTGTGGGAGATCCACTAAAATAAATGGCGGATCCAGTTTCAGAGGTGCCACATCCAGCTTGTTCTGGCACAAGTTATGCCCCGCTTTTAACTGTAGTAAAAAATTAAAAGCTTTAAAAATGTTAAACTGTCAAAGCCAAGATTTGCAGGCTAAATAAAATCCAGAGACAATTATCTGTCAGTCATAAGCTGATTCAGCTGCCAAACTCTCTAAAGCTCAAATGAAGAACAGTGATGTTCTCACAAGATTGTTCTGATGGGCACATTTTAGTCTTGGAAGGATTTTTAAGTTATTAATTTATGTATGTTTGTTCAGGGATTAAGGTTTGTGTTTGAAGGTTTTGCTAAACATATAAAATATTTATTAACTAAGACTGTATGTCTCATATCTTAAACCATGACTTTGCATGATTGTACCTTTGTTTAATTTCATATATGAAATAAAATGAAATATAAACATTTTTATACAAATATCTGTTGATTTTCTGTTCAGCTATAGGGATAACATATGTAGCAACAACGAGAATGCAACCCACACGAGGGAAGCGTTCGTACATAATCAAACACAAGGGGCTGCATATTCCAAATTATCCCTGAGGCTATGAGCCAAGAAGACCTTTTGTTGCTTAACTAAAGGAAGGACGTTGTCAATGTTTTATAATTTGGCAAGAACAGATCTGTTCAGAAATGGTGAAGCAAGAGGCCCTAACAAGACGTCACCTGACCCCTGTGACTAAACAGACTGAACCATTCAGCGTCCCGAGCTAGTTTCCCCTCATCAATTATATCCTTAAGGCTGAAAAAGTGGACTTGCATACAAAATACCCTTTGTCTTGAAGACAGCCATTTGCGAAACTAAACCCTCACGTGGTACACACCACGGATGCACAAATGCTGACCATAAGGATACCCACACACACACACACATAAGGACTTTCCTCCAATTCTCCAATACCAATAAAACTCATCCCAGAACAATTCTTGACTGACCCAGAATCAAAATCATGTAACATAACAATTATATATTGTGTTTACAACCCCTGTATGTGTCTATTCTGCTTAGATCACATCTAAGTCATGTAATTGTTTTAAATATTAGAGATACTGGAATGAAAGTGTCGTGTTTCCTATCATTATGCTCGTATGTGTTTAATTCAAAAGATGGCTTGATTGAAATCTGTGTAAAAATGTTTATGTTCTTAAAATGGAAATTATGTCTAAACTGAATCCTCTTGTTTCGAGCTGATGAGTAAGCAGACCACAGAGAACACATGATTCGCGATGAGAGAAGGGGGGGGGGGGGGGGGGGGGGGGGGATAGAATAGACCCCCTTTTCAAATAACCATATAGTATCTTATTGTCCAAATTCCAAATTCCTCCTGGAGGCGGGACAAACATTTTGAGTTTAAAATCTTAGACCCGGACACAGAATCTCTCTCTTGTGATCCTCTCTCTTGTGATGCGCTCTTGCTCTCTGGTGACTCTTGTGATGCCCGACGATGGTTATAGTAACCATGTAGACGCAGAGACAAATGACCCAAATCAAGATATGGGTTAAAACAGATTTAATTGAAGCCATCTCGTCACACTTTCCTTTCTTTTCTTAGTTTGTTTATTTTCCGTTAAAAGTCTCGGTTCTAAGTTAAGTGTTGCTGCAAAGTTTCGTTTTAACGTTTCAACTGCAAAACCAGCTTTCAACTTCAAAGACTTTCATTCATCCGCGCCAACACACCACGTGACTGGCTGTCCAAAGTCTATCCAGGCACACGAGAAGATCAGCCAAGCAACGGACCAGGGAACCCCCTTCACGACAAAAGGGAACCCCAAAGCAAGGACAAGCAAGTACCTCCAGACTTTTAGCTCAACTTGCAGGTGCATTTTAATATCAAATTGAACTACCCGCCGAAGAAACGATAAAAGGGTCAAATTAATTATTGATGGTTCGTTCAGGTCATGTCTTTTAAGTGCATATAGAAACTTGGGATCTCACCATCTAACTCCTAAAACTCATTCTTCCTCACTCTCTGTCTTTCTTCGACTTGTATGAATGCGTGTGCGTGTGTTTGTGTTAGATATTTGTTTTGTGTGTTAGTCATAGGCTTATAATCAATAAAGTATTGTTTGTATTTGAAAAGAGAAGCATTACTTGTGATATGTGCTTACCGATTTATTGTCTTGAACTTCGATCTAAGTTACCTATGCTTTGACCCTTGATTTATTTCTTAATTTAGCTGTTAGCTGGGAATTAGTCTTTCTTGGCCAAGAAGATATTATATTTCCTAGAATTAATAATTGTTTATGCTTTCCGTTCATTGGATGAACTGATAAACTGATCATATTATTGATTTTGCTACAGTAAATTCTGAAAATAATTCAATTATTAATTATTGATCATAATCTGTTATGAATAATAATTAATTATATTTATACGTGCGTACAATCGCTACACATATATACATCAGTGGTGGACATTCTCATGGACATTTCTTGCATTGTGTGGGGTTTTTATTATGACCAGTGACCACCATTTTCATTTACCTCCACAACTGGATTTACCACAAATGTTTTTTACCAGTATTAAAGCCTGCAAACACTGCTTTACATTTAAGTATTGAAAGATCACGGATTACAATTTCATTTATAATGAAATGAAATGGTTTCTATTTCTTATCATAGCACCAAGCACTGAACACATGGCTTTATCATGTGGCTTTTTAATGGAAAATGAAACAATCGACTGTACATACAAATGCAGGGTGGTAAAACATCTTCAAACAAAGTGAACTGTTATCTATACAATAATCACATGCGCTTTTGTATAAAAAATGGAAGGATGCAGAGTAACAAACAAAGATGCAAAGATAGTGACTCTGTGTTTGGCTCTAGAGAAAGATTGACAATTTATCTTAAAGCTCCAGTCGGCAAGTCTGGCAGATTGAGTGGATTTAGGAAAATTTTGAATGTTTACAACTCTCATGCCCCTCCCCCACTATCAACGAATACCCTCCCACCGAGTTCATGCTCGTCAGTGCGTGTGCACCAGATTTTCAGTGAACGCCAGGGCTCTCAAGTGTCACGCATTGAGCGTGACAGTCACTCATTTCGGTCTTTTGTCACGCTCTCCCGCCACACATTGTATTTCTCACGCTGAAAAACTATTTGTAATAAATTTAATATGCCGCAGCGCCCAAAACTCTGGCCGCGCCGCTCTCACTGTGGAACCGGCATGAATCAAGCGCGTTTCCTCTGGTGTTGTTCGTCGAGCTACACAATAGCCAATCAGAAAATAGCACTATTGTATCTGGGTAAGATTTAACGCGACCAATGACAAAAATGTATCCAACCCCCCGTCGGCTGGGTGTCACTCTTACCTGTCTTCAAAACTTGAGAGCCCTGGAACGCGCCCGTCTCATCAGCATCCATCAACACCATGGAGTATTTGGAGGTATGCTGTCCTGGCTAATCTACCGATAGATTGCAATTGCTAAAGTCATTTATACTCTAAATGAGCTTACTTGATTTTCCGCCATCACTCTTCGTTACTGCGCGAACTTCCGCGAACTTCAGGCGTGTGCATGTGATTGTAACGTGCGCGAGGGGTGGCGTGTGCCCGATCTGTGATTGACAGTCAGATCTCACACCCCCCTGCGCTGATTGGACCCGATGAACCGGGAGCTGTGGATTTTTGCAAAACAAATAACAAGCTCCAGGTGGAGTTAGAAGCTCAGGTTTTTTTCTAAAACCACTTTATTTATGTTGTTCTGTCAGATTATAGTGTCGATTTCACTGAATATGATAAAAAAAATGTTGCCGACGGCAGCTTTAAATCTTTACATTTTCTCAATGAAAACCTAGGAAGACAAAAAATTAACTTGGCCAATTACCTCAGGGTAGTTGTTGTTTGGGTACTTTTAATAATAATAATAATAATAGCAAGATTGTGTTCTCTCCCTTTTACCATGATCAGTCATTGAGTCAGAATCAATTTAAGTCTTTCAAGTCACACCTTGGCCATATGAAAGCCATGAAGCTGGACTGATTATCTTGACCATAATCCTGTGTAGCACGGACCAACATAACAACTTTCCCAAAGAAAGAAGGCATTCGGGTGATGGTATAGAGCAGGGATGGGCATCTTTGGCCCTTCATCTTCAGGCATCCCTTAAGGTCCACTGTCCTGCAGAGTTTAGCTTGAACCCTAATCAAACAAACTTGAAAAGTTTAACCAAGGGCTTCAGGAAAACTTGAAAATTACAGACAGGGGGGTTTGATTAGGGTTACGGCAGTGAACATTGAGGGCCAGAGATGCCCACCCCTGGTATAGAGATATACTGTACACTATGGATGCATTAATCAGGCTGCATGTAAGCCTACAATCACAGTTG